AAACCTTCTCCTCCATGACTCCCGCCTCCACACCGGCTCGGCTGCACGCAGCGCTGGCGGCCGCAGCCCGCGGGACGCGCACACGCAGCGGGTGGCGGCGGGACGCGGCTCGTCCGCTGCCCTCCGTGTAATGGCCGCCGCCCTGACGTCACCCTCGGAGGGGGCACTCCGGAAAGGGGAGGGGACACGGCGCATGCGCCCCCAGGGGGCCGCCCCGCGCCTGCGCACTTAGAGGCCTCAGGAGGGGAAGCGGCTGGGAGCAGCCGCGCGTGTGCAGTACCGCCGGTGAGGTGGCGCATGCGCCTTGGGGTTGCGTGGTGGGGGTGGGTAGCAGCGCGAGGCCCTGGAGGCCCTGCCCAGGTAGGACGCCTTCTCACCCCCACGCGCCTGAAGTAGCGAAGAGAGAGGGAAGATATCGGATCCAGCTGTGTGGGGCAAGGGGGCTTGGTTTGGTCCCACATGGGAGGGGGCATAGAATCTGTCCATCCAACTCCACGGTGCAAGGAGCCCGGCGGGACAGGAGAGGGGAGGAGGTGTGGCTCAGCCACACCCAGGGAAGGTGGCAAACCTGGGGAGGGGTCCAGACCTGCATGTGGCTGGGGGAGGGATCATAGCTTGACCCCTAACCCAGCTGTGCAGGGGGCATAGCCACGGCCTGGCTTCCACCCGCTCGGGATTTTGGCAGCAGGAGGGATGGCACTATTGACCCCCACCACCAAGCTTCTTGACCCCTTCTGCAGCCCCCCAGCTTGCAGGCAGGAGGTGGAGTGCTCCTTATTGCATCTGGAGGTCCATCCAGGGAGGCACCCCCCACACTTGCACTGAGAGCATAAGTCTAAGTGGCACAAGTCCTCTCTAGGTTGCTAGTGATCACTGTGCTGCCCCAGTGGCTCAAATTGCAGATCTTGGTCATCATGATTACTCCGTAATTATTTATTTTGAACTGAGCCTTGGATAAAGAGTAGATCTGAGCAAGTATTGTTTGATGACCATCCAGAACAGTCCTCTGACTTACGATGCAATTGGTTCTTGAAAGCCGCGTCTTCAGTTGAAACATTGGGAGTCGGAACCAATTTTCTCATGGGGATAGTGTTACCCCAGACTGAGGCAGAGCAGGGGCTATGGGAGGGCTGCAGCCACCTGAAAATTCACTGTAGTTCCCACCGCCCTCCTGGTGCAGCCCTGGCCCCACCTGCCCCACCCTGCGCAGATCCAGGGACACACGCCCCCCTTCTCCCATGGTCTCCTGGGCCAACGGCAGGAACTGCTAGTCAAGCCGCCAGATGAGCAGGGCACGGTGGTGGGAACCACCACCTCCTCCTCCCTGTGCCCATCTGGCCCTGGCTGGGCAGTGCCTGCCCCAGCCCCAGTCCCAGCCCCTCCCTCACTGTGGGGGACATTGATTTTCCACCCCCATGCCCCTTCCCCTCCCTGTCCC